TGTGATGCTAGCCCTGTGGGTCTGGGAGCAGTCCTATCTCATAGATTTTCCGATGGCACTGAAAAGCCAATAGCTTTCGCTTCTCGTACATTGACAGAGTGTGAGAAAAGATATGCCCAGATTGATAAAGAAGCTTTAGCATTAGTTTTTGCAGTAAAATACTTTCATCAATATGTATATGGTAGGAAGTTTATTTTAAAAACAGACCATAAGCCTTTAATTAGCATTTTTGGTGAAAAAAAAGGCATACCAACTATGGCTGCTCACAGATTGCAACGCTACGCTGTATTTTTATCAGGTTATTCGTATAAAATAGAATTCATTAAAGGGATTGACAATGGTAATGCGGACGCATTATCTAGATTGCCAGTAAGTGGAACAGATTCTATTAATGATGTTGAATGTGATAAATTTTATATTAATCTGATTACTACCAATGTCAAAACGATTGTAGATTTGGACATTTGTATGGAAGTAAAAAAAGATAAAATATTGAGAGAAGTGTTTTTAAGAGTTTAGAGTGGAAATTGGCCGGACAAAATTAAAAATGTTGAGGACCAATTGATACCATATTTTAATCGAAGGAAGGAGCTTACTGTTGAACAAGGGTGTCTCCTTTGGGGCCATAGATTAGTCATTCCAAATAAGTTCAGACAAGAATTGTTGAATGAGTTACATCACACTCATATGGGTATAGTGAAAATGAAATCTTTAGCTAGGTCATATATTTGGTGGACAGGCATTGACAATGATATTGAGAATATGACTAAAAGTTGTACTTCATGTTTAGCTAACAGTAACAACCCACCTAAGAGTATTCTACATAGTTGGCCTTGGCCTGAGGGCCATTCAAAACGGGTACACTTAGACTTTTTGGGACCAGTAGATGGCAGGATGTTTGTTATTTTAATTTATGCTTATTCGAAATGGGTTTTTGTGAGATATATGCCTAATATCACTACTGCAATGACTATTAAAATATTAAAGGAGTATTTTTCGTTATGGGGCATTCCTGAAAAATTGGTTACAGACAATGGATCTTCTCTACGTTCTACCGAGATGAGTGAATTCCTTAGCAAAAATGGTGTATTTCATATTAGAACCCCACCATACAACCCTTCTTCGAATGGGGCAGCGGAGAATACAGTTAAAACTTTTAAACAATTCTTAAAGAAATGTGCTAAAAATACTGACATGGATACTAATATTTGTAATTTTGTTTTATCATATAATAGTACTAAACATTGTGCGACTGGAGTTAGCCCAGCGGAGTTGCATTTAGGCAGGCCTTTAAATACATCACTTGATAGATTAGTACCTTTTGCTAAACATAAATATAATAAAAGTTTGGAAAATGCTAAAAAGAATTATAGAGGGGGTAGAGTTAAGAGTTATGAAGTTGGAGATAGCATAATGTGTAAGAATTATAGCCCAGGAAATAAGTGGATACCGGGTAATGTGTGGAAAAAATTATCACCGGTAACTTACTTAATTAAAACTTTAGATAATAATGTTGTGAAGAGACATCTAAATCAAATAATTGACAGGCAGTGTAAGAATCCTAGTGGTCAAATAGAACAAACAGTATTATTAAATCAGTTACCGTATAGTGAGGAGGATGATAAGGCAGAAAAATCTATTGAGGAGAGAACTATTGGTAGTGAGGAGGTCTTACATGAACAAGATGAGAATGATGATAATATAGGATGTGAGAATTTGGTTAGGAAGAGTGGCAGAGTAATTAAAGCACCTAATCGTTTAGATTTATAATTATTATTTTACTTTCTATATGTATACCTATGTAAGATAAATATGTCTTTGTAGTAATTAATTAAAAAAAAAAAATGTATTCCAATGGTGTGTTTGTAATTACATTATATTTATATATATATATGTTCTGTATCATTTATAATTTAAAAAAAAAAAATGTATTGTATACTTGTTTAAATATTTTTATAAATAGGTCTATTTGTATTATTTTTATTTAGTGAGGAGGAAATGTAGTGTTTGAGTTGTAATGTTGGTCACAATGACACACAGTTATATGATAACAGAATTACATGATTGTAGTAGATCTTAAGGATTATGTCTATGGCATGCTACGATATAAGAGCATAGGTAACAGTTGTGAATTATAATAAAGAATCATTATGCTTTAAAAGGGTTGTATTAATTATTTAGTATAACGGTTGAACTTTAAATATAACAAATACCAAAATACTTATTCTTATACTGCAGTTGTACAGTTGTACTTTGTACTTATTTTAGTGTGTAATGTATTGATAGGTATCAAATATATTTGTTATCTACCATAATAACTATCATAAGCCATATATTTTGATCCTATATTAATTGGTACACTATAGTGCGGTCGACGAAAAGTAGGCCGAGATCGTCACGCGCCTACCGGCCGTTTTACGGCATGGGTCTCCAAACGTTTTCCCGCCTAATATAATTTCAAATCGTATAATGTACTAACGTTTATAGTAAAAAAAAAAAAAATAATAATAATAGTACTCCCAAACGTAGAACCCCTGGATTTACGAAAAACGGCCGTTAGGCGCGTGACGATCGCGGCCTACTTTTCGTCGACCGCACTATAGAAAATTCCCCATTTCCGAACATCACACACAGTCATATATAGGTAATGAGACTGTTGCCAGTCTTTTGGATGACATCGTAATAATTGACGTTTCGTAATTTCGTTTATACGTTTGTTTTTAAATTTTATATTTTTTCGCAGTATATAAAATGGAGTTGGAGTTAATAAATTCTAACAAAAAATACCCTCAGGTTGCGCATAAGGGATTTTTGTACAATTTCCATAAAGAATGCTCTAATTTTCTTCGTTGGAGGTGTTCAAAAAACAGCTCTATGAAGTGTAAATGTTTTTTGAAAACTAATTTGAACATAGCTAAGCCAACTTTGATTTCTGTAAATAACGATCATGTGCATGAATCAAATGAAAATCTTATTTCTGCGACTAAAATAAAAAATTTAATGATGGAAAAAGCTAAGCTAACAAACGATTTACCTGTTCAAATTTCCGCGGAAGTGGTATCAAACGTACCCCGAAGTATACTCACTGAATTGCCAAAAGAAGAATATCTTAAAAGAACAATTAGAAACCACAGAGCATGTAATGATCCACCTAAACCTACTTGTGGAAACGAAATAATTATTATTGAAGGTAAATAATATTGTAAATTTTTAAAAGTAATTTTTATACTAAACGTAGCTTAACGCCTTAACCTAGGCACTCTCCAGTTGATTATTTTATTAAATTTAATATTTTTCACATAGTCATTAAAATATAAATTTTATTTTTTACACATATATTTTTAATTTAGGAATAATTTATTTTTACTAGGAGAGTATCGGGAATATGGAAATGAAAGATTTTTGCTGTATGATAATGCCCCAAATTCTGATGATAGAATTTTAATGTTCGCCAATGATAACTATTTGTCGTTATTGGCCAAATCTGATACCTGGTTTGTCGACGGAAATTTTGGCCTCGCTCCCGAATTTTTCAAGCAATTATACGTTATTCGTGTACAAATAAATTCCGCATTTGTGACATCAGTATATTGCATTCTGCAGGAAAATAGTCAATCTACATATGAAAAAATATTTAGTATTTTATTAAAAGAATGTCAAGATCGTGACTTGAACCCAGATCCGAAATTTTTACATTTAGATTTTGAATTAGCAGTCATAAATGCTGCAAAAAATATTTTTGGAACTCATATTACGATTAACGGATGTTTTTATCATTTGTGTCAATCGACACATAGAAAAATTCAGAAACTTGGTTTGTCTGGGATTTATAAAGAAGATAATTTAATATTTTCGAAAATATTGCGGCATGATTGATGGATTAGCTTTCCTACCACAGGATAAAGTACTGGACGGAATGACATGTCTAAAAGAAATAATGCCTCCAGATGCAGAAGACCTTTTAACTTATTTTGATTCTTATTATGTAAATGGTACCTATAGGCGTGTAGGTTCAGCTTCTACCTTGCATTTTAGAAAAATTCCACCTATATTTTCACCTGCCTCGTGGAATGTACATAATGCCACTTTAGTAGGGGGGCATCGAACAAACAATATGACTGAAGGATGGAATAACCGATTTTCAAAGCTATGTGGACATAAACATCCAACTATTTGGAAACTAATTAGGAAAATAAAAATGGAAATTTCCGCAGATGAAGCGAAATTAGCTTTAGATGCTGTAGGAGATTCGAAAACTGTTAAAAAACTAGGGCAAACTCGGACAGCAGAAAAACGGCTGCAAAATTTATGTATACAAATAGGCAATATAAATAGGGAATATCGGTGTTTTAGATTTTTTAACAACCGTAAGTCATAATATAAGAAAGAGGTGTACTTAATTATAATATAACATTTTTATAGCATTATTATTATAATTATATTGGTACTTTAATTGTATTATTATTATTTACTTTTATTTGACTTACTTATTATTGACTCTTTATTATTGTAATAAATTGTAAGTAATTAACATTTTTTATGATATTATATGACTTTTTATGTATTTATATATTCATCGGGACTTTTTTTCCTAGTGTGGGACTTTTTTTACCGGGACTTTTTTTTCCGCGATTCGTTCCTTATATTATTAATGTATACTATTATATTTGTTATTATGCGTAGGGTTAAAAATATTAGTACTTGTTATTATTCACATTTCTGAATTGTTGTATTATTTATTTTAATATTGTGGTAACCTCATCCTCGACAGAGCACGAGTCATTGCTGTTCACGAGCCTCCAAGGTAAGTACAGCTGTGGCGCACACGTTAAATAATACTCGTGTGTTTTTGAAATGGCCATGTATTTGAATTCGGGTGTGAGATGCATATATAGTTTTGCCCTACGTACTGGTAGTGGTATTATGTGGTATAGTATTAGCTCTACTGGGTTTAGTAATGGAATTATTAACTCGAATACGAGAGTTCTATTCATATAAACTATAGCCAATTTTGATGTTTTACTTAATTCATATGGTGATATAGAATTTACATCGAAAGGTAATTTTAACTGCCCGGGCAGACTTATTAGTATGTCCCGCAGTTGCATCCTTAGTTCTCGTGTGGTTATTATACCTGAATGTATAATACCATTCTGTGCTGCTGATATTATTTCACCTACCATGTCCGTTTCGAATACTAATAGAGTTTTCGATTTGACAAAATAGTGTGCACGGAAATTCCACTACCACTACGCGAGTGTTGCACTAGTTTTTAATAAACCGAATACAAATAAGTGTAATCATGGAAAACAAAATATGTTGACATGGAAAGAAATACAATTACCGGATTTTGGAAATAGGTATAATCATTAATGAATACTATTTAGTATTTAATATTTATAATACTATTTATAGCATTGGTATAATTTTAATAATTTGTATATTTGTAAATTTTTTTACATTTTGTTAGAGGAATAAACACTTACAAGTTACAACAGTCAAACAGTATAGAATGTCATCCGATTCCGATGTTGAAACATTTGACGTAAGTAGTTTTCATAAGCAGGTAGAGTTTTAAATTATTATTAATCATCGATCCCAATTAATTTATTATGTTATATCAGATTAGTAATCAGAGCTTTATATGTCACATAAAGGCATAAAGCCTATTATGATAGAGTCATTTAGAGGTGCATACCTGGTGTATAATTTAAATAGTTGGTGTACTCGTGTACTGAAAAAGGATGATTGTGAAGTTTTTTGTATCCATATTGCTAGGGCTCTTGAATTCAATTTCATTGACAACCACAATGCATTTTTATTTCTTGTTTACGGCATTAGTTACTAATATTTTTATTTATTTACATTGTATAGATTTGTCCTAAATACTTTCAAATTTTTGAAACAAGTACACATCATGTTTGCCAACGCACCGACACCACAAAAAAGTAATATTGAGTAATTAATATTTCCTCCAATTTAAAAAATATTGTAATATATATTACTTTTATTTTGTGCTACTGGTATAGATCTCATACATTAGACGATATTGAAGACGCAGGTTTACAAAGGTAATAACTAATAATTAATATATTATTATTGAATAGGTAATGAATTAACTAAAGAAATCTCTGTGTAAGTTATTTTGAATTTTAATATTCTTATAATTGTGTAATTCTTCAATAGGTCTGTGGCTCAAAACAGTAAAGAAAGTAATAATAACTTGCTTGCAAGTAATGCATCGCCGTTAACAGGTTTTTATTTTACATTATGCATATATATGTTTGACTTCTGTGACTATACATTATATTGTGTTTACAGAGAATATTACAAAAAGTGCTTGGACAGATGAAAATACAAGTTTTATGTTGGAATGTTACCATCAATATATGGAACAAATTGGTCCGATGAAAAAATTTAAAAATAAAAAGTGTATGTGGGTAAAAATTAAACATGACATTGAAGACAAATTTAACTACTCATTCGCAGAGGTGCAAATAGAAAATAGATACAAAACAGTTTTGAAAAGAAATAAAACATAAACCAAAAATAATAACACTACTGGATCTTCTCCTAACTATAGTATGGTCGATGATGAGTTTGCAAAAATTGCTTCATTGGACGACTCTATTGAGCCAGCTGTCCAAGTTGGTAAGTTATTAAAAAAACTGAAACATGATAGATATCGCATTTTGATGAGTGTTAAAAAAAATTAAGTTTTTAAAAGTAATTTATATTTATTTTTTTATTTTAAAGGTACATCGAGTTCTGGACTTAAACGAATAATAAAAGACGTCATTATTGCACCGAAAGATGTACCAAACGTACCGAACAAAAAAGTTAAAACTTCTGTTACAGATTTTTTAATTGCTATGCACAAAGAAAAGGAAGAAAATAAAAAACAAACAGAACTAGACCGTGAAAAGCGCCATAATGAAAAAATGTACTTGCTTAAAGCTATTTTAAATAATAAGTGAAATGTTAGTACGTTAACTATTTAAATTGTCTACATAAGTTAACTCATGATTTCTTTATTTAATAATAAAACAAGTGTCATTCCTATTAAATGTATGAATTACAATGAGTTTGATAATATTTGGCGCTTTGCCATTCCTTTTGTACGGGCATCTAAAGATCTTGGATTTAAATCTGCTAATGTTATATTTTGAGGTTCTTCTTGTGGTAGTTCTGTAGTTATAAAATCATCTTCCTCTGAACACATATTGTGTAAAACACAACAAGCCAGTACAAAATTGGCATCTTTTTCAGTCAATGCAAAATCAAATTTTAATAAATGACGAAAACACTCCTTTAAAAGGCCGAAAGTGTTTTCTATAACTACTCTTGTTTTAGAATGATTTTTATTAAATTGTTTTTCGGTAACAGTAAGATTACCATAATCTCTATTCGGGGTTATTATATTCTTTTCCAAAGGGTAAGCAGAATCAGCTAATATATGATACTTGGATCCACACACTTGATACAAATATTGGTCTTTATAAATAAATGACATTTGTAGAATCCGAGCATGATGCATTTTTCCAGGGGTCCCAGTGAAAACATCAAGAAATTTTTTCTTAACATCACAAATAGCTTGAAGTGTTATAGAACAGTCATGGTGCCTATTGACATATGTAGATCGAATGTTATGTTTGGGTTTCCTTATGCTAATATATGAACCATCTATAGCACCAAGAATGTTTGGTATACCAGCAATCTAAAATAAAGCATTTAAATTGTAATGGCTACACTTGGAGGATTTATGTTTAAGATTATATAGCATTCACCACAACATTTAAATTGTATCTACTGAAATTATTGTTATTAACATTAATTAGTTATTCATAACCAATGAAGGTATCTTCTTAAATTCATTGGATGTTTCTTTTTTTTCCTCGTTTGTATTGGGCATTTTAATAATATTAGGCATAATATTTAGTAAAAAATCCATTGCTCTTTCGATTACATGAAAACATGTCGATTCACTACAATTAAACACCTGAGCTGTTATTCTAATAACTGTTTTATTGCCAGCAAACCTAATATAAAAATAACTAAATTAATAAAACAATACAAAGAACTGATACTATATGTATTTATATTTACAGTGGTAGTCAAATGATTATGGTGGTATAATAGATCATTAAAAATATATTATATGGTTATCATTTTATATCTAAATATAAGTTATCATAAATATTGTAAAAAGGGTCATGGAGAGATCTATCTCCCATTTGACCACCCCTGTATATTTAGAATAGATCAATATTTATAAAATAAATTTTGTAACTTTCCATAGAAACATCAGCATATGTGCTTCGGCCGATACTGTTTTTTTTCCTGAAGTGTATTTTGGATAAAAATTACTCAATTCAAAATCAGAAATTATTTTGTACGCTGTAACACGGGAAAGTCTAAAATTCCTCTTAAACTAAAAAGATAAAATTAGAATCATATAATATTGTATGTATTACAATTATTTATGAAAATACTGGTAAGTAGGTAGTCTAATAGGTCATACTTCATCATCAGTAAATTTGTGCACAACCTTTTCCACAAAATCTTTGATTTTTGGTTTTGAATGAACATTGTCATTAGAAAATATAATGCCTAACCGTTGTTCATCGTCAGACGAGTCGGAAGAAGATGATGATGATAAAATTCCCGAACTCACCAATATAGAAATTTTATGATCCATACTAAACTTTTGATTGTGAGGTAAACAAAATATTATAAATACTAAAGGTAAGCAGTAAGCACTATAAAGACATACAAATTACAAAGTTAATCACTACCTAGTACCTATTTAAAATATAGGGATTAGGTTTACTACTTATTAAAAACCATATTAATAATAACTATAGTTTATTATTATTAGTTATAAATAAAAAATATGATAATATGATAATAATATGATAAATAGGAAATTAGATAACAATGTGCCCCCTTATGGAGAAAAGCGGTTCGTAATTATAAAGTGCAATTATTCCACTGACAAAATCAGCGGTGCAGAAAGTGCGCACTGAGTGCACACGAGTGTTGCACTGCAATCAAATCGAATACAAAACACTCCACTAGTTCACAGAATATTGGTCAAATCGAATACGTTTTTGCACTCAGTGCGCACTGAGTGCAAAAAGTGCGTAAAATCGAAAACGCTATAATTGTTGGAGTAACAATAATAAATAATAATGATGTTATTAAATTTGTTATAGTCGTTCGTATCTCCAACATATCTACTTGATACCATACACGTCTTAAACTGGTTTCTAAATTATGGCATGTTATGTTTAAACTCTTTATTTGGATTTCCATTCCTTGTGCATCTTTAAATGCACTATTGGTTAATTTTAATATGCTAGTTTTCTTATCAACTATTTATAGCATGCCCACTCTACTATTTTGAAGCTCCCTTATTTGCGTATTATACATTTTCCCATACTCGTCGTCGAATGTTCCGAATAATATTTTCTGAATGTGTCCTATCATATTAATTAGCCCCATTTTTTCGCGTTTATTTATTTCTTCCACGTCTATGGACTGTAACATGTTGGACCTTTTTCTATTAGTTTCTTGTAACAATGACGAGAAGGTTAATGCAAAATTACCGCACGTAGTATTAAATATTTCGGGATGCTCTTTTTGTAGATTTTCGCAAATGTTAACTGTTTTGTTATAAAAATTAATAGTTTCTATATGCCTGTTATTATAATTATCTAAATTAATATATATCAATAATTTCCAATCCTAATTAGTTAATCATAGTGAACCTCGATTTTCAAAGTAAATCCCACTCTCGTGCGGAATCGTTGAGACATTGTATGACGAATTTTGCGATTGTACGGCTTGAAAAACTCCAATCACTATTATAAACCTATAATTAAATTACATTAATATACAACTATGAGTAAATTAATTATTATTATTCTTTAAATAATTTAACATGATTTTTATGTGGAGTAGCTATTCGTTTTCTTTTTGTATTTTTACATTATATTCTAATAGTTTTATTACCGGATAAGGTCCCAAATTTCCTAGGAAACTTTAGGAATCACGTATTTTAACGATTTTTAATAATTTTTCAAAGAGCTATTAAATATTATACTGTATGTTTATTCATAGAACTTTTTTCACTCTTTCTAATGGTAACACTGGTTATGATGATTACTGACCGTTTATCACATTAATTATCAATTGTTTATGTTCAAATTTCGAAACACGTTGTAACGAAAATAACGCAATATATATCTTGTCATACAGTAAGTAAAATTATATTATTGACTATAAAAAAAATATTTTCGATTATAAAATAAGTTTTTCTAACTGAGTAACTTGATAATGTGTGTAAAAGTTGTTCGGTTGATTTACAGTGGTTTCGTAAATTACATGATTCCATTAATAATCATTGGGATGTAAATATTTTTTGACAAATTATTGTTATGTACCATGCATTCCCAGTGATTCTTTTAGGAATCATGTACTATTTATTTTGTTATAAATTGATATAAAATTATTTATTTTTTAGTTTCTAGCTTACACATTTTTAAATAATGAATCGAGGGTTAAAAGATGATGATATTGCCGAACTATTAAATGGAGACGTGTCAGACATTGAAGAATTCGATGAAGGTGAAGATATTAATTATGAAAATTTAGATGAAATATTGTCAACAATTCCTAATGAACCTGAAGTAATTTTATTTAGATATCAATAAATTGCATGTTAAATGTTATTAAACATAATTATTCATAGGTTAACAGTAATGTAGAACTTGGTATTAATGAAAACATAGATGAAGTTATATCAAATGATTTAGAAATATTAGAAAATGTCATAAATATCAATGACATTTTTGAAATCCCTGAAACGGAAAATTTAAATGATCAAACAATTAAAATTCCCAAGTGGGAAAAGGTAAAAGAAACTGCTTTTGCATACTTAATTTATAGGTTAGGTCAGGTACCTTGGAATAATATAGAAACTACATGGAAAGGTGATTTACCGAATCCTCCTTATAGTTTATTGTCTCCATTTGAATATTTCAAAATATTTGTCGATAACAATATGATTCGCCACATATCTGAGCAAACAAATTTATACTCAATTGAAAAATGTGGAAAATGTGTAGCTACTTCACCAGAAGAAATTGAACAATTCTTAGGAATCCAAATGTAATAACTATTTACTTATTTTTTAAATTTTACTTTTTAACTATTATTATTATTTTTTTAAAATAGGTACATGAGTATTATAAAAATGCCTTCGTACCGGATGTTTTGGGCTAAACAGACTCGTTTTACAACAGTTTCTGATGCCATGTCCAGAAATCGATTTTATTGTTTGAGATCAAATATACATTTTAATGATAACAGTAAAATGCTTCCAAGAGAGCATCCGGACCATGATAAATTATTTAAAGTACGCCCTTTTATAAATGCAATACCTGAAAATATGAAAAAAATTCAAGTTGAAGAATACACAGCTATAGATGAAATAATAATTCCATTTAAAGGGCGTTCAATGATGAAGCAATATAATAAAAACAAACCCCATAAATGGGGTATAAAAATGTTTGCTCTTGCTTCGTCAAATGGATTAGTTCATGACTTTGAAATTTATGTTGGAAAAGGTACTCTACCTCCATCACAACATGGACTTGGAATTAGCGGAGATGTAGTTATGCGTTTAGTTGATAGTATTCCTAAGCATCAAAATTACAAAGTATGATTTTTATTTATTTTTTTATGCTGTTCTGAAAGTTTTAGAATTTATAACTATTTATTACTTAGGTTTCTATGGATAATTGGTTCAATTCCCATAGTTTACAATGTAAATTACAATTTGCTGGAATTTTGGGTATAGGAACAGTGTGATCCAATAGAATTGCTGGATGTGCACTAGAAAATGACAAAACTCTAAAGTCAAAAGGTAGAGGAACACATGACAGTCAAGTTGATACAGTTAATAATATAATGGTCACTAAATGGTATGACAACAAAGTTGTCCATGTAATTTCAAACTACCAAGGACCACGTCCAATAAATAAGGTAAAAAGATGGTCTGTTACAGATAAGAAATATATTGATATTCCTAGACCAACATCTATTGCAGAATATAACTCATTTATGGGAGGTGTAGATTTGCATGATATGTTGGTAGAAATATACCGTGTAAATATTAAAGTAAGAAGATTTTACCTACGTATTATTTATCATTTAATTGACATGTGTGTTGTCAATGTACGGCTCTTGTACCGGAGGCATTGTAAGCAACTTAAGATAAAAAAAACAACACGTTTATTAAAATTTAAATCAGAAATAGCACATGCTTTATTGCAAGCTGGTAAAAATAAATTGAATAAAAGAGGAAGACCATCATTGTCAACTACACCACCTACTAAAAAAAAAAAGATTATTTGTTCCAAGGCCTGTAGATGATGTTAGATTTGATGAAATAGCTCATTGGCCTCTTCCAGTTGCAAAAAAGCAACGATGCAAACATTGTATAACAAGTTATACTACAAACACTTGCAGTAAGTGTAATTTACACTTATGTTCTAAAGTTGACAAAATGTGTTTTATTGCTTTTCATAAAAAATAGTAACTCTTTGTGATAATTATTTTACTTTTAACTACCTATCAAGACTGATACAGATAACTATAAAAATGTATTATATAATGTAGCTATTAAATTCTAAACTATTTTGTATTTTGTTTAAGGTATAAAAACTTTTTTCAATTCTTATTTTTATTATTATACTTTGTTTTGTTTAATTACATAATTTGTTATGTTTTATTTTAAAATTTGTTTTAAATTGTTAAATTTTGTTTCAGTATTATTATACATTTGTTTTGATTAATTACATCAGATTATGTTATGTTTTATTTTAAATTGTTAAATTGCATACCTACCTATTTTGTTTCAGTATAATTAATAATTATACATTTGTTTTGTTTAATTACATAATATTATGTTTTATTTAAAATAATTTAAAACCTACCTATTTTGTTTCATTATTATTATAAATTTGTTTTGTTTAATTACATATTAATTTGTTATGTTTTATTTAAAAATGTATTTTAAATTGTTCAACTATGTATCTGTTAAAAAAAAATATTATTATACATTTAACTTGTGTTAAATTGTTAAATTATATATTTGTATTGCTAAAAAATATAAAAAACAAAGAATATTTGAATTATAGAATTAATTTTTTTATGCGAGTTCTAAAAGCCCGATGATGACTTTAGGAATCATACCTGTAACTTCCAGGTAAGTTGATGAAAAAAAAAAATTTTTCCTTTTTTTCATTATTTATAACTCATTAATTGATATAGTGTATGTAGGAATTTTTTTTTTTCAAAAATTGAGTAGTTGGGCTGGAAAGGGTTTTTGAGACATGGAGAAGCACACAGAGACACCCTATTGTTATATACGCTGATTTCGAGTCCTTGCTAGTCAAGGTTGATGAGAAGAAAGGAAAAAAAAATAACAATTGTACAGAGACATGAGGCCATGAGTTACGGGCTTATAGTTGAGGCGAGTGATAATGTCCCGCTCGAGCTGTCAGCCGATCACGGCATAACTATGGATCCTGTAATATACAGGGGCAGTGAGGACCGACCGGACGTAGCGAAACATTTTGTAGAGGCGATAGTCGAAGTTAGCAGGAAGATAGAGACGCTTTTAAAAACGAATACCCCGATAATTATTACTGAGGAACAAGAAAAAACACATCAAGAGTGTACAGCGTGTAATCTATGTAAGTGCAATATAGTGGGGGGTCGATAAAGTCATAGATCATGACCATCTATCGGGAAAATTTAGGCAAACCCTGTGCTTTTAGTGTTACTTGGCGTTACAGCAGCCTAAATTTGTCCCGGTATTTTTCCATAATCTGTCAAACTACGATTCCCACTATATAATTTCCCAACTTGGTTTCGACTCAAACTCTATTACCGTTATACCGAACAGTGAAGAAAAATTCATATCTTTTTCAAAGTATGTGAGTAATAAATTTACTGTTTGGTTTATCGATACGTTTAGGTTCATGGCGACAAGCTTAGGGAAATTAGCTGCTAACATGATTACACCATTATTTGAAAACTTTCGTGAGACAGCTAAACATTTTGCCAAGGAAGAAATGCCACCTGTAACTCGTAAGGGGGTATAGGTATACCCTTACGAGTACACTGACAGTTGGGACAAGTTGGAGAAGACGAGATTATTGAGGAAGAGGGACTTTTATAGTACGTTGGCCGAGTCAGGGATAAAGGAGTCTGAATACACGCATGCAAAGGATGTAATAAAGTTACATAGTTATTCGTGTATTTATATTTTAAAACTTTTGTATGTTATAGGTCTGGGACCACTTCGGTTGTAAGACGTTGGGTGAGTATAGTGATTTGTACTTGAAAATTGATGTGTTGCTGCTGTCTGACGTATTCGAGAACTTTAGGGATTCGTGTATGATCATTATCACACTGCCCCAGGCTTAAGTTTTGATGCCATGCTCAAATATACAGGGGAAAAGTTGGAGCTGTTAAGCGATTACGACATGTTGCTGATGTTTGAGAAAGGTTAGTACATCATAATTATTTTGTATTATATGTATTATATCATGTATGTTTTTCCTTTAAAGGTATTCGTAGTGGATTGGTACAGGTGAGCATGAGGCATGCGAAGGCGAATAATCAGAAAGCACCGGGGTACAATAAGTCGAAGTCGTCGAAATCGTGGCTTATTTATCAAGATTGTAAGTATTTATTTATTTTTTCAAAACTTTTCTAAACTTTTTAAGCTTTTTAAACTTTAAAGGTAACAACTTGTATGGCTGGTCAATGTCGCAGTACATTCCTTACGGTAGATTCAAGTGGGTTGATCCAACTCTCAATGGACTTAATGATTTGACCGATACCTCGCCTATTGGAAGGATATACGAGGTTGATGTATCCTATCCGCATGAATTACATGACAAACATAACGACCTGCCTTTTCTACCACAGAATGGTATACCTAAAGGCTCCAAGGCACGGAAGCTCATGGCAACATTAAGGCGCGTACACACGAGCGAACAAAAATAAAGAATGCTCACGAACGTTCGTGTGCGACCCACCATGCGACCGTATAGACGACGTTCGTGAGCATTCGCAAGCATTCTAGAACGTTCGCTGAATAGGTCGCATAGACTCGCACGGCGAGCCGATCACTGTCGGTTTTTCAGTCATGCTCAAAGAAACACCGCGAGCATTCGAGTCACCGTTTGGAAGGTAAATTAATTCAAACGTTCGTTATAATAAAATAATTAATAAATAAGTACTTACATTTTTAAATTTTTTTATAATCTATTTGAAAATGGATTGGGATAGCAAAGATTGCTTGAATTTGATTGAATCATTTAGATTACAAGAAGTATTATGGAACTCAAAAAATCCATCATATTTTTCAAAAAATGCCAAACATGATGCTTGGTGTCACTTGGCAAAAGAAGTGAAAAGACCGGTTGAGGAAATTAAAAAAAAAATACTAAGTTTACAGGGATCATATCGTAGAGAAAAAGCGAAAGTAAAAAAAAGTTATGGAACTGGAAAAGGTAAATATTAATAATTAATAATACTTCGAATGAAAATCTAGAAATTAAGTACCTACTTAAAATATTATATTTAAAAGGTGCCAACGACATATACCACTCTAAATGGTTTGGTTTCGACGCCATGCATTGTTTTTTAGCCGATAGAGATGATCCAATGCCGACTATGAATTCTGCAAATGTAAGTTTTACTATAACTATCTCATGATTATATTTTTATATAATATAATAATAATATATTATTTATTATTTATAACTTAGCTAGATCGTGTTTAGCACTTTGAGTGCCATGTGTATCAATTTCAATACACTACTAATATGTTCATTTGTGCCGTGTGTATTGATAATGATGCACACATTTTGTCTTAGAAAATTACTTATTATAGAAAAACAAACCCAGATAGCGCCACAGAACAAAAAACATATGACTCTTGACTATATGTTTAATTCGTATTTATGATTGGTTTGAGGTTATATTAATTTAACATTGATAAAAAAATAAAACAGTTGATAACATTGATATTGCCAAATAATTTTATCACAGAACCATAGTTACTCTGCTGTTTTATTTACTTTATGATAATTTGATATGATATAATAATATCGTACTTATCATTTTTATTAATTGTAACTACTATTTCAATTTGAATCGAATTATTCGATTAATAGTAAGAAGTAAGTTCAAATTTTTTTTAAAAATGAACATAACAAATAAAAGGAAACAAATTGAAGAATGGTTGAACGACAGTAGTGTTTCAGAATATGATGATTCAGATAATGACCCGGATTTTGATATTGACAATAAAACTTCAGAGTAAGTATTTTTATTATTATAATTATAACAAAAAAATAAGATAGGTAAATCGTGTTTTTTTATGGTCTCGAATATATTATATTAGCCTATTTTATTATATAACTATCATGCATAATATAGGTATTTATTATTTATAATAAATCAATTTATTATCTGTATTACAGGGATGATGATGTTGATGTTGATCCGGCCAATTCAGGTGATATATTAGATCAAAATGCAAATACCTTTCTTGCAAACAATATTTTTGATGGGTAAATTGAATATTTTATGTGTTTTATTTTTTATAAAAAATGTAATGTTTTTGTGTTATTGGTTTATAGATGTAATGTTATTGTGTTATTGTTTTATAGATGTAATGATGACAGTTCTTCTACTTATATGCAACCTTCAGTGGTTTTCAGGGGCGGATTTACCCATAGGCCACCTAGGCACGTGCCTAGGGCGCAAAATTTTTTTGGGGCGCAATTTTTTAGTTTTTCATAATTTCATAATTATATTTACCTAAATTCATATTTTATAATATAAATTTTTTTTTTGTATATAACTTGCATGAAACTGAAGAATGGCTCGCGTAGTCACTTTGCACTTTGCAGTAACGTTTTAATTTATAAGCTATAATACCTTTGCCGTTTGACCGTTTGAGTTTAATCCTGCGACCGAAGCGCGTTGCGCCGCGACGACACCGCTAGAGGTTTGACATCGACACTCGACGAGGCAGTTGCCGGCGTTGCCTATGTTAATGCATTTGAGGTGGTATACGGGTGTATGGCGTAAACACATACAACATTGTGAATGGCGCATGCGCAAAACGCCAGCCAAGGCAGTCAAATATACTGCCTCAGGCTACCGGGTACATTGTATATAGCCGCTCTACTAGCTAGGTGGGAGTCAGCTCGCACTCTTAGCAAGTAAATTATTTGATATTAACTGGAATGATCCGCCTCACCCTACACCCGGCACCACAATAAGTGTGCGCGGGCACGCGGCCACTAAACTAGTCTATTCTTAGAATACTGGAATAATTTCTGGTAATCAGATGTCTTGATAATGTAATAATAAACATTGCGACGACGCACGACGCTGGCACTGTCGCCCGTCTCCTGCACAGTGCATACTGCTAATCGATTACGATTTACGATTATAGAAACTAGTTCACATTTTCATTTTTTAATTAGAATATTAAAGTTTAAACAATTAAACATGTCTGGTAAAAAGAGTGGGCACCAGTTTAAAAAAATAAGGCAAGACAAGTTGGCCAAACAAGAAGATGTATTACGAAAAACAAAAAAACTTGATGGATTCTTATGCAAAGTATGTTCAAAAATCAAATTAGTAATTACAAAAACATCTTTATTTAATTTTTATATTTTATAATGATAGTAATACATTAATATAATAATATATAAAAATTAGTAATTATTATTTATATTTTTTCATTCTTTATTACAAAAATTGTAACTTTCTTAGAATCCAGTAAAAAAACCTATGGAATCAGCTGAAAAAAATGACGAAATAAAGTTGATTGACGACAGTTCAGAATTAAAAAGTTTATCACCTATGTCCAAGGTATGTATATAATTATATAAAACATAATATATGAATGCTTTTGAATAAAAAAATAAATAATTTAAATAAATTTGTGATTGCATCTTGTACACTGTTAATTGTTATCCTTATCCGTCAAACTGCACGCATTATGTAGGTACTTATGCCATTATACACGACTTGTACAGTAGTTGTACGTTATAATTACACACAGTATCTATGAAGTACGAACAAACAATTTACCTTGAAATTACGTTTACAAATTTGGTTATTATTCTCCGCCCTCCGATTCCATAGTAGTTATGCAAGCGTAGCTTATTATATGTTATTTTGTTTACAGTAATATGTCTGCGTGTGTGTAACTTTAAAGAAATATTTTGTTTGAAGTTCAAATTCTTACAAATTTATAAAATTGACGTTTTCATAACTGAAATTATTATAATAAAAAAATAAAATGTTTAGGTTGATTTGAGCGATGTAATTGATGTAAATGTCGATGAAATGTGTAATGGTAAAAATTTGATCGAAGTGCAAGATGACAATTCAACAGAAGGAGTTCGGCGTTTTCCAACCGATCCGGCAGATTGGTTACGTACTGCAAGTTTTATAAAATGTTGTGCAGTACATGGGGTAGATCAAAATAAAAATGACAATTTTATTCAATCAAAAAATCAATATTCTGTAGGCAAAGTGAGGTTTTGTAACAAAACTATGTTTTTTACAAAATTACCAAATGGTGAACAAATTTCTCGTGCATGGCTTGTTTACTCTCATAAATTAGGAAAAGTTTTTTGCGCACCTTGTTGGTTATTTAAAAATGAATTTTCTAATTTAACTAATGATGGTTTTAATGATTGGAAAAATGCACATAAGCGTCTTAAAGAACACGAAGGATCGTTAAATCACAAAACATGTATACTAAAATTGAAAGATTTAGGACAAGAACAAAGAAGATTAGATTCTATGTTATCGGTACAAATTAACCATGAAAAAATGTATTGGAGAAGTGTTTTAGAGAGAGTAGTATCTGTAATTAAAACATTAGCTTCACGCGGACTTCCATTACGGGGACATGAAGAGATTTTCGGATCGCCTAAAAATGGAAATTACATGATGCTTCTTGAATTGTTATCAGAATTTGACCCTTTCTTAGCACAACATATTTCTAAATATGGTAATTCTAGTAGTGGTACTACATCGTACTTATCATCGACAATTTGTGATGAAATTATTGTATTAATGGCCAAAAAAGTTAAGGAAGTTATCATAAATAATGTTAAAAGTCATAAATATTATTCGATTGTCGTCGACTCTACACCAGATATAACACATTCTGACCAACTTGCTTTTATACTTCGCTATGTCAGTGATAAAGGTGTACCGACAGAACAATTTTTAGAATTCATACCAAAAGTTGGTCATAAATCTTTGGAAATAGCTGAAACAGTCATTATGACAATCGACAATTTAAAATTAAATATATCAGACTGTCGTGGACAATCATATGATACAGCTAAAAATATGTCAGGTTGTTATAATGGTCTCCAAGCTCGAATAAAAAATATAAATCCTTTAGCATTTTATATCCCATGCGCAGCTCACTCACTTAACCTAGTAGGGTCACATGCAGTTGAATGTTGTAATGAAGCAGCTACATTTTTTGGGCTAATGCAAAATATCTATGTATTTTTTTCGAGTAGTACACATAGATGGGATCTCCTCAATAATAATATGGTATCAAAATCACGCACATTAAAAGCACTTTCCAATACGAGATGGTCATCGAGAGATTCTGCATGCCTGAGTTTAAATGAAAATTGGTCTGCCGTTTTAGCTACATTAACATATATAATCGATGATAAAATTGAAAATAATATTACTAGAAATGAAGCAAAAGGACTAATGAGTAAAATGAGTTCTTTAGAAACTGCAATCATGTCAGTTGTGTGGGGTTTTTTGCTTAGTCGATTAAACTTAACAAGTAATAAGTTACAAAATGTCAATATTGATTGTTTGGATGTACTTCAGTTATACGATAGTTTAATTAGATTAATAGAACAGACTCGCGAAAATTTTGATGATTTTGAAACGGAAGCATTGGAAAAGGCAGTTAGAAAGGATTACAAAATAACTACAACAAGAAAAAAAAAGCGAAAAATTTTCCATGACGAATCTGAATCTGAAGACGTAAATTTATCGGCACGAGACAGTTTTAAAATACATACATTTATTCCAATTTTAGATAAATTAAAAAATGAATTAGAAACTAGGCGACATGCATATGATACTTTCTGTAAACCATTTACATTTTTAACGCAAATTAAGGAATTAGACAATCAAGAAATTAGAAAATCGGTTAAATTACTTCAAAACATTTATAAAAATGATGTCGAATTTAACGATTTTATAAATGAAGTGTTACATTTAAAAGCTCATGTCGATGTAATCTCTATAGGGGGGAAACACAACTTACTTGGTCTTCAAACATTTCTCTATGAAAAAGACTTGACAAATATTTACCCAAACATAGAAATAATACTACGCATTTTTACTTGCACAGCTGTCACCAATTGCTCAGCTGAAAGATCGTTTTCGTGTTTAAAAAGAGTAAAAAATTACTTACGTTCTACTATGACCCAACAAAAAATGAACTCACTTGCGATTCTAAACATTGAAAATCAAATAACTCGTCAGTTATCATTCGATGAAATCATAGATGATTTTACTACCGAAAAATCAAGGCGCAAAATTATTTAATTATTGTATTAATATTTTATTAATATTTATTGTTTAGTTGGTATGTATAAAAATAAAAGTTCCTAAATACAATTTTTATAGTTTTGTTTTATTTCATGGAACGTCTTTCTGAAACGTTTCCTGACGTCTAAGCGTCTGACACGGTCCCGAGTCAATCTGTTCTCGTTTGAATGAGCTGTAATATAAATGTCTAATTTCTCACATAATATATAAATGTATAATGTATTTTAAACAACTGTAACCTACGACTTATAAATAGAGTAATACATTAACGACCAAACATTTTAATAGACGAAATAGTAGGTTTGATAGAAGTCCGAACAGAGACCGATCTTACTATAGGGATAAAAATAACCACGAAGAAGAAATAGAATATATTAATACACTTATAGTTACAGAGCTTTGCACCCAAATTATTTATGCGGTTTTGGGGAGCTGGATGTATTCTAATGTTTGTGGGTGTATGTGAAGGCTAAGCCTCCAATAAAATGTTGAGCTGAAAAAAAAGTTCATTGCAATATTTCTACCTCCCCTTCTTCTAGAATGACCAGACGACAATCCTAACCTAACAATATAATATATTTACAACTAATATCGAAGAAATATATGTAAAATATAATCCAGAAAATAAATTGACACCGGTTAAATAATCTCATTTTGTGTAAAAACAAACACTGAAATAAAACAAAATATTGTTAAAAATTTTAGACACAAACCAATTGAAATTAAATAACACTACTATACGGTGGCATCAAACTTCTCAGAAGTTCATCCGTAACATAGATATTTTATAAGAAAATTTGGATTTCACTTGGATTTCTCAAAACGCTTTCATAGCAAACATGTTTTACCTACATACCACCTACCTAAAAAATGAAACAGTATACTGTCACGGTGACCGGTGTCTTAAGAATGAGAACTTTAGGGCCCGGATCTTTATGCAAATAGCAAATTCATATTCTTCTACATTTGACGTATAATAATTCTGATTAAATATCTTGACGTTTCGTAAAACGTAGATTCTACTGTTCATTTTTTTGTTTTGCATATTTTTGCATATTTGCATCAAAATGCATAGTAATTGCATATTTCGGGGTATTTACATAAAATGTGCATATTTAATAAATACTTAATAAAATATTTTAAATTTTACTCACAGTTTGATATACATGTCGATTTTTCCCGATTGCCGACGTTCTTTTTTTTTTTTTTATTAGATAAAATAGAATATTTACAATCTGTAATTTATATACATACAATAAGTAAATATGATAACAAAGAAAAGGTAGATATAACATGAATGGCGTGAGGAGGGAGGTCCACCAGTGTGGATACCCACTAACTTAGGGGAGAGAGTTTTATTTTATTTATTTTTTTTTTTTTTCAATTAGTGCAGTTCGGGATTTAGGAGATCACGACACCAGTGTCTTTTTAATCGACGTGGGGGGTTATTTGGCATGAATTTNCATTTGTGCCGTGTGTATCAAAATTGATACACACTTAAAAAACAGACTTAGAATGCTTTTTCCCCCAAAAACCTGTTAAAGCTTATTTTATTGGTTTCTTTGAGTCACAATAAAAGAATAAAAATGTCTTGGTCAGAATGGTCAGTTTTGTCATTTTAGGCCCGGCACTCAAAGTGTTAGAACATTGTATAGAAAAAACTACGTATAATTTTCAGATAGGTACTTTAATAAATTATAACGTAAATTAGAATGAACAATGAAATATAAAGGGGTACTATAGGTACTCAATTAATAATTAAAGTTAAATTTTATATATTTTGCCATTGCACACTGCCATTTGTTAGAAAGTAATCAGCAAAATGTTCTCTTATTTCTTGCGCTTGAAGTGGTGGTCTACGAGCGACATATCGTAAGGGTAGTAAAGATATTGTAATATTTCCAGACTCTCTCCAATCACCCCGTATCATGTGGCCTTCCTCTTCTCTATCAAAAGATCCTGGTGGGGTGTAGATATTTCTTGACGATTTACTATGTCTTAAAAAATTATGTAAGTAAACCACTGCCATAACAACAATTTGTGCTTTTTGAGGTTCCAATAACAAAGGTTTTCTTAAAACACAAAAGACGGCAGATGAGATACCAAATGCGTTCTCAACAGTTCGTCGTGCACGACTCAAACGGTAATTAAATACTCTTTCTTTTGTACCTTTATCATGGGTCCCAGAATACGGTTTCATAATATGCTTTGTTAGGGCAAATGCCTCATCTGCAAGAATAACGAATGGTATATCCACATTTTTTCCTGGCAAAGGTACTGGTGGGGGCAAGTTTAATTTCTCCATTTCTATTTTTTTGTGTAATTCAGTATTTTTAAACACTCCTCCATCCGAAATGCGTCCTTGACATCCAATATCGACAAAGAGAAAATTGTAGTCTGCATCGACTAATGCAAACAATACAATGCTAAAAAAAGATTTATAGTTATAATATTCACTGCCACTGTTCATTGGAGATTGCAAGACGATGTGTTTTCCATCCATGGAACCAATGCAATTAGGATAATTCCATGTTCTTTCAAATTGTTTTGAAATATTAAGCCACTCATTTAACGTGGAAGGCATCTATATTTAAAAAAAATAGTGTTTTATTAATGTATATATTATATTATATATAATAATACACTTATAACAGAAAACAGTGTACCTATATGACAACTTCTAATTATGAGAAACCTTGTATTACATTTTGAAGTATTTTAACCGAGTGAAACATTTATTTTATTTATATTTTTACAATAGCAGTTAAAAAATATTAAAAATACTTTGGCATGGTTTTTTTTATAATCATTTAAATTTGAATTTTGACAAAATGTATCAAATTTCAAATTTCAAAAGACTTTGTAGCTATCAATTTTAAAATGTTCAAATTTTATAGCTAAGGATTAACAATTTAAAAAAAAAGTTCTACTTAGTTTTTTATGTTCAAATTTGGAAGAAATTCTATAATAAATAACCAATAATAACGATTTCAGCCAATTTTGTTAATAAAAAAAAATAAAAAATTTACATCATTAAAATATCAGTAACATCAATAAATGCATCGCAAATATTTTGAAAATTTGAAAATTTATCAAGCGAAATAACTTGGCGAAAAAAAAATGTATGCAAATTTACATCACTATTCACGATGTGTTATAGGTATTCTTATTTAATATAATATATTTATTGTTATTATCTATTTTAGGTTCTAAGTGAAGCAAGAGAAATGTGTGCTTCACCGTATACTGGAATAATTGAAAGAGAAACATCCACAGACACGAGCGATGTTTTTATGTCAGAGGAGGATGCACTTGATACAAGTGAAACACAAACATTTACACAACAACAACAATTTGTATCTGCAGATAACAATGAGTTCACTTGTCCAAGTCCAGTCCAGCCTCCAAAAGGAAAAAAACGAAAAAATGTAGCTAGTACAGACTCCAGAATTGATGAAGCATTTGACATTTTAAAGAAATCTGCTTCGAACATCGAATTAAATCAACAATCTCCCGATGAGTGTACTACTTATGGAACTTATATCGGAAACAAACTTCGAAATTACACTCCAAAAACAAAATCATTTGTTCAGTATTACTTCAACAATATTCTTTTTGAAGCAGATATGGGAAGATTTGATGGGAACGAAAGTAATATAAGTTCATCTTTACCAACAAGTTATAGTAATCTACCACCAACAACACATACTTCAAGTCAAACTTCTTCTCCTAATATTATTTATCAAAATTTGCCACAAGCACAACCATCTACATCAAACTCAGTTGATTTCAATCCAATATTTGAAACATCAGATGGGTCTTCTTTAGAATCAACCTACCTAGGTTAGGTAGCTACTTATTTTAATTTTAATGGAAAAGTTTTTATTCTTTGTTTTTATTTTAATTTTATGAAAAAATATGTTTTTTTAATTTTAATTTTATGAAAAAGTATGTTTTTTATGTTTTTTATGTTTATATAATGTTTTAATATGAGTGAAGAATAATACATTGTTACGATTTATTATTAAGAAAAATATACTGTTATTCATAACACATTATTATTTATTACCTATGCATTACTTACTTTTACATATTCCTTTAAAACTTCAACAACTGCCATGCAGACTTCAGGAATTATACATGAAATTATTTGTTTTGAAATGCCGAATAAATATTGTAAGCTGCTATATGAATCTCCGGTGGCAAGAAATCTCAGCGTAACAGCTAGCCTAACTGTTACCGAAATAGCTGGACGCATATTCGTATCTTGCTTGATTACTTTTGGCCCGATGAGATTAATAATTTTTTCAAAATCAGCTGATGACATTCTTGTAAAATTTTGAAAATGGAAACTGTGTACATCAGACTGCATACTATTTAACAAATTAGCTCCTCTATTTTCATTATCGATGTAAAGTTTTGATCTCCAAAGACGTCTTTTACGTCGAACTTTTTTTTCTTTGATTTTCATGAGTTCATGCATTACAATAAATGCTGCACTTGCAACTTGTAAATTATTACTCATAATTCACCAATAAAAATATAATAATAAATTAATAATTGTTATACTTGAAAAATTGTTTGTTTTTTTGAGCCCAAGAAAAATTATATTGTTCACTATCGGAGCCTTCAACAAGCGATTGAAAACGGGTTGATTGTTGACAAAGTAAATATTTTATTTTACACTAATATTATGGCTGCAATACGATTGCGCGCGGTCCTTATCAGCGGTACCTTTTTAGGCGTACGATTGCGCGTGCTAAATTATTTTTACTTATAAGCAACGTTGCCAATACACAGATTATAGGTGCACGGTAAATATCTGGTTTGATTTCGGTTGTGGCCATCCTTACGTTATTTATTGCTTATTATTGCCGATATCAGACAAACTTTCCATCACTAAGAAGTAGGTTATTTTTTTTTAGACCCTGGGATATTGGATCTTTTATCTTAATAATTACGATTTTTTTTAATGAAAATTTTTTCGAATTTTTTTTTGATAAGTACCTATTCGAATATTTAATATTATTTTATTATAACGATTTTTTTTTTAATGAATATTTTTTTATTTATAATAATTATTATGTTCCTTTATGAGGTAGACTGAGTGAGAATATAAAGAATCTGTTAATATTATAATGATTTTTTCTTTTAGAAAACCATGCCAAGAAAAAGGTCAAAAGTGTGGAATATTTTCACCAAATTGAACAAAGACCAAGGGAGATGTTTAAAGTGCAAAAATAATTTTGAAGCTAAAGGAGGTAACACTAGTAATTTGATAAATCACTTGAGAATACATCATCCCAATATTCATTTGATGTTTTTAAATATAAAGAGTCGAGATAACAGTTTTAACAAGTAAACAAAATGAATAATAAATATTAATAATTTAATACTTTAATCTATCAATTGTTAAGTTGACTGTCTATGTATTATAAATAATATACAAGTATTAATGATTTAATCTTTTCATAATAATTATGAATTATTATTATTATTGTAACATATATGATAATAAATATTTTTTTTGCATAATATTTCAATATTTGTAATGAATAATAACAGTAAAAGATCATGGTACTTTAATCTGCCATTATGTTCACCAGTTAATTTTGAAAATAGTAGAAATGATCTGAATGAAACTGATGACATCCATGATCCTCCTTGTGACATTGGTAATAATAGTGCAGAACATCTTGAACTAGTGCAGTAGTGCCATTCAATTCCAGTAGAAATTTAGTTCATAAGTAAGTTTAAAATTTAACTAAATGTTTTTAATATGTACAATACACTTACTGTACTTATTTATTAATGAACCACATACTTAACAAAAATTTTTTTAAAAATTGTAACCTAAATTATTTGGAACCTACTCGCCCACATACCTTTAATGAAATAATTATATTTATTATTATTTTTATTCACTTGTAGATCTTGTACACTAAAACAACAATCTATGAATATATATAAAAAATTGGACAAAACAACCAGTGAAAAGTATACCAATGCCATTGCTTATTGGATTGCTACAGATATGCAACCTTATAGAACTGTATCAAAACAAAGATTTCAACACCTAATGTCTGTCATATGTCCTGGATATACTATCCCAAGTCGCCAAGTTTTTGCTGATAACAAAATTCCTGCTTTATATTTTGAGGTAAAACGTAGAATAAAACATGATCTCAACTCTGCACAATTTTTGTCACTTACATTTGATTGTTGGACTTCCAATGCCCAACAGCCTTACATTGGCATAACAGCTCATACTATCAATAGTGATTGGGTTCTTCAAACATATTGTATGGCTAGACCACACTGCCATTATTTTTAAAGATATTATTGAATCTACACTTAAAGATTGGAATATTCCTATGTCAAAAGTCTCTGCCGCAACTACAGATAATGATACTAATGTAATCAAAGCTGTTCAGTTAATGGACTTAAATCATATTAGTTGTTTTGGTCACACATTAAATAATGGAGTTACATCATCTATGAATTTAAATCTAATCAAAACAATTATTTCTAATATTTCAAAAATAAGATATACATTTCATTATAGTTCAAACTTACGTAGATTGCTTCAAGATGCACAAAATAAACTCGACCTTCCACAAAAAGTTATGGCAGCATCATGCGTTACAAGATGGTGGACTAATCTACCTGCTATTCAATTTGTAAGAGATAATTATGATGCTCTTTATGATGTTTTATTTAAGTTGAAATCAAAAAAAATAAAATATCTTCCAAACTGCAACGAACAAAAACTTATTTTGGTGATGTGCAAAATTTTTGAACCTCTAAAAACACTTGGTGAACATATGGGCGCAGAGAAAATTGTTACAGCCTCTTCAATTTGGCCTGTTGATACAAAACTTGAAAAAACTTTGTTTCACACAAATTCATCAAATTTTACTTGTGCTTTAACACAAGAAGGATCAACTACAGCGAATAACACTGAACATTTTGGGGACAGCGAACAATTATTTCCAATACTAAGTCAATGTACACTTATGGATAATGATATAAATTCATATTTAAACACTAATGAAGTTTGTGAAAACATTAGTGATGATGATGTTGATTCACATGTGGATGGTGTGAATACAATTGATAATTTATTTTTATTAGATCATACTGAAAATCATTTAAAGGATGATATAAAAAGACCATTTCATAAACGTTACATTAATAAAGAAGAAAGTAGAATGTTTTTACAAAAAATATGCTTTTTGGATCCGAGGTACAAATCAACATATATTGATCCAAGCGATATAGATATTGTCAAAAATTCAATTCAACTTGAAATGGATGAAATTGGCAATCAAGCTAAAGGTAAAGAACTCAAGGTCCAGAAAAATGATGGTATGTGTAGTAAAAATTGGTTTATTTTTATTTAAATATTTTTACCGAAACTATAATATTTCTGATATCAATTGTTTTAATGAAATTGTAGGATTAGCAGCATTTTTGGAAAATATCGACTGTCCCGTTATGAACAATGTGACCGATGAAGCCTTAAACCAAATTGAATTGGAAAAATATGTATCCTTGCCATTTATTTATCTTGATGCCGATGCTCTTCAGTGGTGGAAACTATATCATTCACAATTGCCTACGGTATCATTACTAGCGATGAAGTATTTATGTATACCTGGTACCAGTGTGTCTAGTGAAAGGATATTTAGCTCTGCAGGGAATATTATTACAGATCATCGGTCATTACTATCTCCAGGACATGCTGAAGAACTTATTTTTTTATCAATGAACTCAAAATTTATTTCCAAATAATATCTAATTCTAATACATTTTTTTAATTTTGTTAAAGACAGTGCTTGTACTGTTATTATTTATTTATAAGTAAAAGAACTAATAAATTGTTTATTTTATTTTTAAATTTTACAGTTAATAATTTTTAATTTTTTTAAAGAGTGTTTGTATTATTATTATTTATTTATTAGTAAAAGAATACTAAAATTTATTTTTATTTTATGTTAACTTTATAGTAGTTATACTGAGACACTGAGTTAGTATTTTTAATTTTGTTAAAGACAATGCTTGTATTCTTATTATTTGTTTATTAGTAAAAGAAAACTAATAAATTTGTTTATTTTACTTTAAAATTTTACTGAGTTTATCTTTTTTTATTATTAAAAGACAGTTCTTGTATTTAGTGACATGCTTAGCTTTTTGGAAATTCCAAATTTTCCAATTTCAGAATGTGCTTTTTTTTCCTTTTATAAACATTGATATAACATAGAAGTTTTTTGATGTGTTGGTGATAATCAATTTTAAAAAAGACTAAGGGGGGGGGGGGGAAGTACTACTTCATCTATCTTGTCTTATTACAAAAAGAAAGACCCTTATTATTTTCATCGCCTTATAAGTTATAATATGATTTTAAAAAAAAATTGAAACTTTAATGTCTCCCTGTAAAGTGTAAATTAAAAAAAGACATCCCCTACCACTGTGTTATTATTTTTTTTAAATAAGGTAGTTTCTTTTCCATATCCGGCATACCCTCTATATAATAAAATAATAAATATAATATAATATATTCATATATTGTAATATAATGGTTTTTAAAAATTATTTACTTCCTTACCATATTATTTCAGTGTTTTTCGGTATTACGGTTTTCCGATACCACGGTATTACGGTATACCGTTTCATACCGGTACCGAATCTAATACCGCAATACCGGTTTCAAATTTCAATACCGTCAACCCTACGCCTATAATTTAGCGCGGGCGTAGAAAAAATTAAATCAAAAGAAATACGTTATCATGTAGTTAAAAACCATTTAACGATGTCCGACCAAAAGAAATGTCTATTTTGGGATGGTATACCGCCAGAAACAAACGAAGCTCAAAATGTAGCTGTTGAGCAGTCTAAACAGTTTGAGTT